CTTAAAATAAGATGAATACACTTAACAGTAAGTATTTGAAGATGCTGTGCAGTCTGTAATTTAATATGAAAGTCATCTACATGATTGAAAGCTTGTGTCTATCTTCACAATTAAAACCATCCTTGATTTGAGAGCTGAGTTCAGCTTTGCTTTGCAGAATTGGCATCACTGTTTCAGTATGCTTTGAATTTTGAGTAGTTCTGAATTCTGCATAACCTCAAGTGAGGCCTATTCTTTAATTTTATCCTTCCTCAGAATCTTCCATATATTATTTATATACATTCTGGGCCTTGTAAGTAGTACAAGTGAAAAAGAAGAACATTCATGTTTAGTGAGTAAGTGTTGCTTCTTAATTGTGGTGATGGTTTACAGTATTACATACTTAGGCATTCAACTAAGATTTCTTCTCACAAAACTTAAGTCTGTGTAAAGTATTATTTATAAGCCAGTCACATGCTAGGTGTAGTATGAGCAGTGAATATTCTGAAAAAAACAAAATGCTGTTGGACAATATTGTCTCACAGGTTGTGTTCTTTGGGACTCAATGCTTCTTTTGACTACCTCTTGGGTTTTGAAGTCTTGTACTGCAGTGATATTATTGGGTTTGTATTTTTAAGATACGATTGCTTGTTTAATCTATTAGTGGTGTGGGAGATGGTGGCAGTGGGTGGTGAGTAGGTCTCAGCAGGATGCTTGCATTTCTAAAGCCTGGTACTTCAGCGTCTTCTAGTGGAATGTGGAACAGAGCTGTCACTGTGTTGAATGGCTCTCTTCACCCTCGTTCTTCACAGCACAAAACCTTCCATGGACATGATTCAAATATTCATCTACCTAATAGATTTAATGCATTTGTCATACCTTCCACATTAGTGGAGGTGTGTTGGTGGTCATATCAAGTGTGGAGTAGTGGAAACCTTGAAGCAAATATCTTTGTACGCTTCTCAAAACTGCAGACCCTGGGACCACAGATGACCAAGGAACTCCCAAAATTTTAGCTGCAGTCTTGTCTCCTGAGTAGAGATGAAATTAAGATTTAACACTTAACCATAGACAAGGGCCCGCTTTTTTCCAGGCAGTGTCATATCTAACAGCTTTATTGGGGTTGCCAAAATTATTCAGGTATTTGGGTATGAGATAAAATTTTATTATTTTTTTTAACTGTTAAAATTTTAGTCTGTGACTATAATTCTATTTAATATCCATTGGGAATTTGAGAACCCATGAAAGAGCAGCTATTGCCTAACTGGTCAAACGTGGGTTACTTCTGTGAATGAGGAGCTGATTTGTAGAAATAAATATTTCATTATAAGCCATGGTGTTGTGTTTGCTTCAGTTCATTCAGGGCATGCAGAAAGGATGATGATAGCATCATTTTGATGATAACCGTATTAATGTCCAACAAAAAAGGTACTAATAGCTTAGCTAGGTATATGTGAGAAGTAAAGACAGTAGTGTAAATGCAGTGATTTTTCTGAACTTTTTGAATTTATTTTAAGGCATTGACATTGAGCTATGGCTATTATTGAAGCAATACAAAGAAAGAGGATCAGATATCACTGTTATGAACAGAATCAAATAACAAGATGAAATCTTTGCTGAACATTGCTGAATTTAATCAGCATTATGAATAATTGTGGACAGTTTCCAGGAAAGTAGGTAATAAAGATCCAAAGAAGCAAAAAAGGTTTCTGATTGAGATGATGCTACTTGTTAATTAGTAACTTTTTAATGTGCAATTAAGAATAAGCACTATGGAGCAAGACTCTTTTGTGGCAATAATACAGATTTTAGACTAATGATCAGAGTCTCTTACTCAGAGTGTATCAGGCAGCAGTTTTGAGAAGATTCTTTTGAAACAGTTATTTTTCGGTGGATTAACAAATACTCACTGAAAATAAACATTCACCTGATTTTTAATTGAAAAATAAAGTGTAGGTATTCTATTTTCTACAATATATACCTACTTGGAAATAAGTAATATAAGCAATACTGGTGTTTTATTTAAGTAGCCATAGTCTAGCAATTAGAAAATGAAAACAGCCCCTTTAGCAGTTGAAGATGTCTTGTAAAGTAACTTCTCATGGTTTTTTTCCCTTGCCTTTATAAGTCGAGCTGGAGTAAGTTTTCGGTGTATCAGTGTCTATATCTTCTGTTTAAAGGAAATGTAACACTGTGTTGCATAGAACTTTGCACTAATTTTTAAACCTTGGTTTTCTTTTGCTTTGGAAAGAATTCTTTTATATTCACATAAAGATTTTTAAAACTAATTTGCTGGTGTCTTTTGTTCTGAACGCTCCATTGAATGGGTCCTAGCTGGTGCTCCCCAGACTCACCAAAAAATAGCTCTCAAATGACTTCTGCAGTTGTTTGTTGCTGCTGCTCTAAAGCAGGATCTCCATCCTTTATTAAATGCGTTCGGGAATGTTGTCACTAAGGGTGAGGATAAGAGTGAGGGACTTAATGCTTTCTTCGCCTCAGTCTTTATCACCCAGATCAGTTATCCTCAAGGTACTTGGCTCCCAGAGCTGGAGGACAGGTGTAGAGTGCAAAATAACCCCCCATAATCCAGGAGGGAACAGCCACTGACCTGTTACTCCACTTGGACACTCACAAGTCTGTGGGTCCAGATGGGATCCACCCATGGGTTCTGAAGGGGCAGGCGGACGTGCTCCCCCAGCTGCTCTCCACCATCTATCAGCAATCCTGGTCAACAGGGGAGGTCCCCGATGACTGGAGACTGGCCAGTGTGACACCCATTGCCAGGGACCTGAACAGACCCGCAGTGAACATCAGGGAAGTCCGGATGAGGAAGGGACGGATAAGAGAAGAGAGAAGGCATTTATTTTAATGGATAATTTATCCTGGAAAGGCCTCTTCTTTTTCTCATTAAGTCAAAAAGTGATCCCAAGTTGTTGTTAATTGGCAATAAAAGCCCTTCAGGTTACATTTTCAAGTTTCTTCTCTGCTTAGCTGGGCTTTCCAGCTCCCATCAGCCAAAGCCATGAACTCCTGTATCAGTGGTGATAGTGACTCCATCGCACCATGCTCATTGCTCAGATATATGCTTAACAGAGATAATTAGTAACTTTTTAATGTGAGATTAAGTATAAGCACTATGAAGCAAGACTCTTTTGTGGCAATAATACAGATTTTAGACTAATGATTAGAGTCTCAGAGTGTATCAGGAAGTAGTTTTGAGAAGATTCTTTTTTGTAGCGGTGGATTGTCCAGTAATTAGAAAATGAAGACGACCAGACGGAAAACTACAGGCCTGTCAGCCTGACCTCGGTTGTGGGGAAAGTTATGGAGCAGATCATGTTGAGGGCGATGGCACAGCGTGTGTGTGACAGCCAGGGGATCAGGCCCTGCCAATATGGGTTCATGAAAGGCAGGTCCTTTCACGAGCAGGCAGGTCTGACCTACCTGATCTTCTATGACGAGGTGACCCACCTAGTGGATGAGGGAAAGGCTGTTAACATGGTCTGCTTTGACACAGTCTCCCACTGCTATCTCCTGGAGAAGCTGGCACTCATGTCTTAGGCAGGGGTACTCTTCATTGAGTGAAGAACTAACTGGATGGTTGGGACCAGGCAGTGGTGGTGAATGGAGTTAAATTCAGCTGGTGACCAGTCACGAGGGGCGTACCCCAGGGTTCAGTGTTGGGGCAGGTCCTCTTTCATATCTTTGACAATGATCTGATTGAGGGGATTGAGTGAACCCTCAGGAAATCTGAAGACAACGCCAAGCTGGGAGGAAGAGTTGATGTGCTTGAGGGTAGGAAGGCTCTAGAGAGGGATCTGGACAGGCTGGCTTGATGGGCTGAGACCAGCTGTATGAGGTTCAAGAAGGCCAAGTGCCGTGTCCTGCACCTTGGTCCCAAGAACCCGCTGTAACGCTGCTGGCTTGGGGCAGAGTGACTGGAGAGCTGTGTGGCAGAAAGGAGGTCGGGGTGCTGGTCAACAGTCAGCTGAACATGAGGCAGCAGTGTGCCCAGGTGGCCAAGAAGGCCAGTGGCTTCCTGGCTTATATCTGGAAGAGTATTGCCAGCAGGAACAGGAAAGATTGTTCCCCTGTGCTCAGTGCTGGTGAGGGCGCACCTCAAATATTGTCTTCAGCTTTGGACCCTTCAGTACAGGAATGACGTGGGGGTGCTGGAGCATGTCCAAAGAAGGTCAACGAAGCTGATGAAGGGGCTGGAGCACAGACCTTATGAGGCACAACTGAGGGAGCTGGAGTTATTTATTCTGAAGAAAACTCAGGTGAGACCTTACCACTCTCTACAACTACCTGAAAGGATGAAATGGCCTCAAGTTGCGCCATGGGAGGTTCAGGTTAGACATTAGGAAGACTTTCTCCATGGAAAGAGTAGTCAAGTATTGGAAAAGGCTGCCCAGGGAAGTGGTGGAGTCACTGTCCCTGGCAGTGTTCAAGAAATCTGTGGGTGAAGCACTTAGGGACATCATCTAGCAGGTATGGTGTTAAAGGTTTTATGCTTGTACTCGATGATCTTGAAGGTATTTTCCACCCATGATGATTCTGTGATTCTATGACCTCCCCAGTTCCTGGTGCTTTGACGGGCCGGCTCCTGTCTGCATGTTTGTCTGCAGAGGTTGCCAAGTGTCACCAAGATCAGGGCTGAGCTTGGGTTTTTCACATTGGTGGGACGCCCCGTCACAGAGCAGTTTTCAGTCAAGGTATTGCTCAAGTTCATTAGCTCTCACCCGGCACCAGGGCTGGCTCCCTGTGTGCCTGCAGCTGCCACAACCTGGCTGCAGGTGTGGTGAGAAACTGCCCTCCTTGGTCTTTGCTTTGAAAAATTCTTTAAAGCAAAAATGTTTCAGTAAGGATTTATTACAATGCAGAATATACAGAGATGTTATGGTTGGCAGACAGACAATACAAGGTCACTTTGTAAAAGGAACTCTTTGGCTGTTGGTGTAAAGTCAGTATCTTCCCCCTGGCCCTGCTTCCTGCAGCCCCATGAGTGCTTTGTGGCCCCACTAGCGTGGCAGGGCGCAGATGCGGTAGGGCTGGGGTTGGCGAGTAATAGCCAGGCGGTAGCTGAGGCTGGGCACGGTGTCCTGCGGCATCCGGAAGGTGAATTTCTGCAGCAGGGCCGTGAAGAAGAGGAAGAGCTCGGCGCGGGCCAGCTGCTCACCTGGGCAGGCGCGCTTCCCTGTGGAGACAGTGGGAGCCCTGGATTTGCCTGTGCCCAGTGCAAGCAAAACTCTCCCAAAAGGGCATGGAATTCAGTCAGGAAGATTGTTTCTAAGGTCTCCTGTGTGTTTTGTGGACTTTATTCCTCCCTGTTGCTCCACCCTGCATGGGAAGGGAGCCAAACCGAGGAGCGTGTTTGTTCTGCCCCAGCCACAGAAGTAGAGCTGGATATATGTGTCCATGCGGTGAGGGGAGACACATTTGGGCCGAACATCATCCTGCTTCCACTCCTAGCCCGGGAACTCATAGTGAAAGGGCTGTGGAAAACACCTGCTCCCCCTTACCTAGGGAGAATGGAATGAAGGCCTCTCTCCTGCAGAACTGGCCGTCCTTCAGGAAGTGCTCAGGGTTAAAAGCATCAGGTGTTTCCCATGTCTTCTTATCCATGAACAGTGAGGTCAAGTTGGTCATCAGAAGGGTGCCCTGAGCAAAGAAAACAAAATTTTCCATTACAGTGTCCCCGTGGTTGGCTACCCGTCAGCCAGAGCCAGGGTTACCTTGGGCACGAGGAAGCCCCCGAGCAGGGTGTCCCGCGTGGTCATCCGGGGAACGCCAACAGGGACGACATTGCTGAACCTCTGCACCTCATGGACCACCGCGTTGGTGTAGGGCAGCCTGGCCTGGTCGTCCAGGCCTGGCTGCCGGGTCTGACCGACCACGGCATCAATCTCCGCTTGCACACGTGCTGTATGCCAGGAGCAAAGTCATCAACAGCACATGGGGAAAAAATAAACAAAAAGCATATCTACAGAGCAACAGGGAGGTTGTTATGAAGTTCTCCCAAAGAAGGAAGCTGACCAAAGCCTCTCTATGTTATGAAGTGCCCTATGCTCTGCAGTTTCGGGGGGCAGTGCGGCCCAGGCCTTGGCACAGGCAACAGGGGAGCCTGTGCCAGCACTGAGAGATTGATGAAAGGAAGGATGGACTGACCAGCCCTGCACACATGGGATATGGGAGGGAGAGACCAGGAGCGGGTTCTGGACACATGGTTCATTTTACCTTGAATTTTTGGGTGCGCAGCCATGTAGAGCAAAGCCCAGCGGAGGGTTGTGGACGTTGTCTCTGTGCCCGCAAAGAACAGGTCCAGCATGCAGGCCACAAGATTCTCCTCGCTGAAGCACCCGCTACCGTCGTCCTTAGCAGAAAGGGGTTTGAGGGCACAAACACGTGCAGACCACGCTCCCCCTGCCCAGCACTGAGCTTGCCCTATGGCTTTGGTCAGATGCAGGGAGCCCCCTGCACCTTCCCCTGCAGTTGCCTTCCCCTCCCAGCAGCACTCCAGACTTAGCTTTGGGCTCAGCACAGCTCTTTTGCCCATACTCTGGCCATATTCTAGTGTGTTTGGGCCTGCTCCTTCAACCAACAAACGCTAGCCAAAAGCCAAGTGGCCGTTTCCATGCCGTCCTAAACCAGAGTCCTTCCCAGGTTTGCTTTGGCCACGTTGGAGATGGCCACCCATAGAGATTTAGGATTCATTTCTAGTTGCTCCAAATCTCTAGCCCAAGCTGTGGGAGGGTTCAGCTGCATGACTGACCTTGGCTATCTCCTGCAGGTAGCTGTCGATGAAGTCCCGGCTTTCAGTGGGCTGCCAGTCCTCCTTGTGCTTAGCAATTATGGCAAGCAGAAAACTTTGGAACTGCTTCCAGATATCACCAATGGTGCGGTGAGGCCCAGGGATGTATTTCATGATTCCTGGGAAAAAGCTGTAGAGCTTGGGACATGAGAAGAGAGGAGCACATGGAAGGGAGGACCAGAAAAGAACTTGTGTTATCAAAACCTCATGCCTGCCAAGCCACTTCCATGAATTACTGTTTTGCAAGTCTGGAGGATAACCCCACAGGAAGAGCCAAGGTCTTGCACAAATTGGTGTCCACGTGGCTGGCCTGGGCGGGGAGCAGTACCTGTGTCAGAGGGTGGGCATGCAGCACCATCACCTTGTCCAGCAGATGCAGCAGCTCTTGGAAGCGCTCGTTGTGGTACTCAAACCGCTCTCCAAAGCTGACAGAGCAGATGATGTTGGAGACGGCATTATTGATCTTAAAGTGAGGGTCAAAAGGATGTCCTGGAGAAGAGGAATACAGAGGAGTGGGTTCTGCCCTGGCTCCCAATTTGGGAGTGGTTTCATAGAGTGGCAAAAACAAGGGGTGAGGAAAGAGCTAAAGGGCTTTGGAAACTGCGGAGCTCAAACACGCTCACACTTCTCAGGAGAGCTCAAAGCAAGCAGTGTTAAACACCCGCTATAAAATATTGTTTTCCCTGATGCCTCCTCACATTGATCAGCTAATTCTGAGGTGTTTTTAGCAGACAGCAGCATGCAGGATGGTGCTCTGGGTTTGGCCTCACCCTGCTCTTCCCCGATGGCATCAGTGAGGTACCGGCACTCCTCCTGTATCCGCTCCTCCAAGCTCTTCTTGCCCAGGCCAAAGTTTCTGAGTGTGGTCAGGGCAAATCTTCTCTGCTGCTTCCATATATGTCCATTAGAAAAGACCAGCCCTGGGCCCTGGAAAAAAGGGAAAAACACCCCCCCGCCGTGAGCTAAGGTAGCTCCTGTTGTCGACTTGGAAAAGCATTAACTCTGCCATTTGCAATGGCAGAGGAGCCAAGTGCATTCTGGGGGATCACAGATGGCTTCATTCATGGGCGGACAGGTGGTTTACAGGGTCCATGTTTAGACTTTTTGTCCCAAATACATGTCCTGGATGTTAGGAACTCACCACATTGATTAAAGAATTCATTGTCGACACGTAACTGTGGCCGATCTAGGAAGTTTTCACCTTGGTTTACCAGCACCTCCTTAATCATCTTGAAGTTGTTCACAGTGATGTAGCTGATACTGCCTATGTTCAAGCTGTAGATGTCCCCATATTTTTCAATAAGCTAGGGGGGAAAAAGAAATGATCAAACAGGACAGTTTAGTGGAGGGGAAGCAGAAGGGAAACCCCATGTCATGTGGCCTTGCCAAGAACCTGAGCAAAGCCATGGGGAACATCAGGGAAATTCGTATTAGGAAAGGAGTGATATGGTATAAGACAACTGTTTAAGCGGATGATAGATCCAGGAAAGGCCTCTTCTTCTTCTCATTAAGTAAATAAGTGATCCAATATTCATGTTAATTAGCAGTAAATTGAAAAGAAGTCCTTCAAGCTGCATTTTCAAGTCTCCGCTCTGCTTCGCAGGGTCTTCCCAGCTCCTGTCTCCCGACCCCTCTCCTTCCATTCCCTGCCTACACCACAGGACTCCTATTACAGTAGTGATAGCAGATCCATAACTCCATGCCCTTTCCCCAGAGAAATGCCAGGGTTCGCATCCCTGCCGCGCCTGGACAGACGTTATCCAAACCTCTCACCACACTCCTCTGCCAGGGGAGGTCTCTGGAGCCTCTTCCTCCCCTGGTGGCTCCCCATGGGCCACTTCTTATACTTGCATTGACCCCCTTTCGCCTCACTGTAAAGTGCTGTGTACCCATCTGGCCCGTTCCCACTCAGTCTTGGGTCTCCTTAGCCCTTGGGACTCGTTACCTTCTCTGCCCCTTTCAGGGGATCCTTGAAGTCAATGAGGAAGACATTCCCCACAAAGGGGAGCGGGAAGGGACCCGGCGGGAAGTTTTTGGGCTTCCTCCTCTTCATGTAGTCAGCAACGAGCAGGAAGATGAGCAGGAAGACCAGGAGGGTCCGTATGGACACGCTTTGTAGGAAGGTCAGGCCAGGGAGGCTCCCTCCTTTACCTGAAGGAGCAACTGGAGTATATGGAGCTCTGCCTCAGGTAAGACTAAGGGCGGGTAGAGACCTTGCTGGGAAGTTTTAAAGGTCAGGCCAAGGAGGGCAACAGTGTGATGGCTGTTTACTACAAGCCTCACGATGAGGAAGAGGAAGTGGATGAGAATTTCTACAGGCAGCGGCCAGCTCTATGAGCTTCAAGAAGGCCCAAGCGCTGGGTCCTGCACTTCAGTCCCAGCAACCCCATGCAACGCAACCGGCTTGGGGCAGATTGGCTGGAGAGCTGTGTGGCAGAAAGGATGTGGGGGGTGCTGGTCAACAGCCAGCTGAACATGAGGCAGCAGTGTGCCCAGATGGCCAAGAAGGTCAGCGGTCTCCTGGCTTGTATGAGGAACAGTGTAGCCAACAGGAGCAGGGAAGTGATCGTTCCCTTGTACTCATTGCAGGTGAGGCCGCACCTCAAATATTGTGTTCAGCTTTGGATCCCTCAGTAGAAGAAAGGCATAAAGGTGCTGGAGCATGTCCAAAGAAGGGCAAAGAAGGGTTTACAGTTAAACTCAATGATCTTGAGGGTCTTTTGCAACCAGAATCATTCTAGGATTCTCTGAACTGCCTCCTTTCTGGTGCTTTGAGAGGGTGGCTCTCCACCCATGTCCTGACCTGGGAGGTGAGAAAGGAAGGTGAGAGACTGGAGCAAAGGGCAGGGGTTTCTCCTCCAGCTTCAGGTAGGAACCTTGCCAAGTCTCCTGCATTTTATAAACAGATGAATTTGGCTTCTGTCTGCATGTTTCCATGTAATGAATCTACAAAACCCAGTGGCAGCAGCTCTAGCTTGGGAGCATCATGTGGCAGAAATAGCGCCTTAGGTCAAGCCATCATCTTGTAGCCTTGTGTACCTCAAGGCCATGTAGCAAGACCCTGTGCCCAAAGTCACCTTGCTGCAAGGGAAGGACAGAGGTGGCCCAGTGTCACCAAGCTCAGGGCTGAGCTTGGGTTTGTCACATTGGTGGGAACCCCCCCCCAACGTGACACAGCAGTCTTCAGTCAAGATGTTGCTCAAGTTCACTAGTGCTCACCTGAGGCTAGGACTGCCTCCACGTGTGGCGACAGATACCTGGCTGCAGGTGTTTTGAGAAACTGCCCTTTTTGGCTTTGCTTTGAAAAATTATTTACAGCAAAAATGTTTCAGTAAAGATTTATTAGAAAAATCAGAACACAAACAATAGAGAATCTTTTTTTTACATATATACCTAGAGAGATTGTCTGTCAAGAGCAAATTTTGGCTATTTCTACCCATGCTCAAAACAGGAGACAAGGGCTGGTGCTGCTCATTAACGGTTTGGATCCACGCAAATAACACTCTCTGCAAAACACTCCTAATTTACTTGCTGGTATGAATGACAACTAGCCAAAATAAAATTAAGAAATCCTTGATTCCTCCATTTTAATGTTGTCAAAAAGAAATTAAATATTTATCATCTGGCTGAACAGAGATCTTCTACCTGCCTCTTGAAAACTCTGCAGCCTTGGGTTATGGTTGGCAGACAGACACTACAAGGTCACTTTGTAAAAGGAGCTCTTTTGCTGTTGGTGTAGAGGCAGTATCTTCTCCCTGCCTCTGCTTTCTGCAGCCCGACGGGTGTTTCAGGGCGCCACTAACGCGGCAGGGCGCAGATGCGGTAGGGCTGGGGTTGGCGAGTAATAGCCAGGCGGTAGCTGAGGCTGGGCACGGTGTCCTGCGGCATCCGGAAGGTGAATTTCTGCAGCAGGGCCGTGAAGAAGAGGAAGATCTCGGCGCGGGCCAGCTGCTCACCTGGGCAGGTGCGCTTCCCTGTGGAGACAGTGGCAGCCCTGGGTTTGCCCTTGCCCAGTGCAAGGAAAACTCCCCCAAAAGGGCATGGAATTCAGCTAGGAACATTGTTTGCAGGAGTTTCCGCTCTGCTCTGGTAGTGACTTGGGCAACCTAAGACCGATCACGTAGGGTACGAAGACAAGGTCATGAAGGGTGGGGGGGACACCCCTGCCTTTAAGAAGCTTCCGAGGTCTCCTGTGTGTTTTGTGGGACTTTATTCCTTCCTGTTGCTCCACCCTGCGTGGGAAGGGAGCTGACATGAGGAGGGGTTTGCTCTGCCCCAGCCACGCAAGCTGGGCTGGACGTGTGTGTCCGTGGGGTGAGGGGAATTGCACTTGGGGCGAACATCATCCTGCTTCCACTCCCAGCCTGGGAACTTGCCACGAAAGGGCTGGGGAAAACATCTGCTCCCCCTTACCTAGGGAGAATGGAATGAAGGCCTCTCTCCTGCAGAACTGGCCGTCCTTCAGGAAGTGCTCGGGGTTAAAAGCATCAGGGGTTTCCCACTCCTTGTCCATGAGCACTGAGTTCAAGCTGGTCATCAGAAGGGTGCCCTGAGCAAAGAAAACAAAATTTTCCATTATGGTGTCGCCATGGTTGGCTACCCGTCCGGCAGAGCCTGGGTTACCTTGGGCACGAGGAAGCCCCCGAGCAGGGTGTCCCGCGTGGTCATCCGGGGAACGCCAACAGGGAGGATATTGCTGAACCTCTGCACCTCGTGGACCACCGCGTTGGTGTAGGGCAGGCTGGCCTGGTCATCCAGGCCTGGCTGCCGCGTCTGCCCCACTACAGCATCCAGCTCCGCTTGCACACGCGCTGCACAGCAGGAGCAATGTCATCAACAGCACAGTGAAGAAAAAAAAAAAACCAACAACAACAACAACAGAGCAACAGGTTAGTGGTTATGAAGTTCTCCCAAAGATGGAATCCATTGAGAGTCTCGATACGTAATGAAGTGCCCCATGCTCTGCAGGTTCCGGCGGCAATGAGGCCAAGGCCTTGGCACAGGGAACGAGTCACCGTGGGATGAAACGATGGATGGACTCGCCAACTACTCACACAAGGGATATGGGAGGGAGAGACCAGGAGCGGGTTCTGGACACATGGCTCATTTTACCTTGAATTTCTGGGTACGCAGCCATGTAGAGCAAAGCCCAGCGGAGGGTTGTGGACGTTGTCTCTGTGCCCGCAAAGAACAGGTCCAGCACGCAGGCCACAAGATTCTCCTCGCTGAAGCACCCGCTGCTGTCGTCCTTAGCAGAGAGGGTCTGAAGACAGTCGCGACTGCCCGCAGACCGCGCTCAGCCTGCCCATCACTG